GCACCCAACCAATAGACTCTGTGTGTTTCTTTGTTAAATGCTTGAAACAAATATATGTAATATATGAAACATTTACAGTATTACAAAAATAATTGTTGATAATAATACTTAATAAATATATTATTAAAATATTTTTAAATCAGGGTCATAAAAAATAAAAAATAATTATATATTTATGAATTAATTAGATGCTTTTTTTACCTTTTTTTTTTTAAAAAACATATTTTATTTTTGTAAACTAAACTATCTTTTGGTATATCATTTTCGCATTATAGTTATAAATAGCTTATTTCTATTTTTCATTTAATTGTGATTATGAATTTGTATAATTAATTAAATAGAATTAATTAATTTTATAAATATTTTGAAATTATGCATACATGCATATGTTAATTTACCATTTCAATTTAACTTTAATTTAACTTTATTATTAAAGATATAATTAATAGAAATAAATAAAAAAGGAAAATATATACCACACAGTTCAATAAAAAGACCACGTCACTAAAAAATAAATAATGATAAACTAATATTTTCCAAAAAACAAAAATATAATAAAAAATAAAATAACTAACATTTACAAATAAATGGAATTTATAATCAATTAATATTATCACTAATAAAAGATCAAATCATTAAATTAAAAATATTTTGTATTTTTATTAATAAATAAAAGTTAAATATAAAAAAATAAGAGCATCACTGTTTTTAAAACAAAAGATAGTCTACATTCTCTCTTTTGAAATTTATATGTTCGGGATATAATTATATTACTACCAAATTATTATCGTTGTTTGCATTCTCGCTTTGACAAAGATCAAATCACTAAATTAAATATATTTATTTCAAGTATTTAACAAAGAAACACACACAGTTTAGTGGTTACGCGTCTAACACAATTAAAATTGTATCACGTCACTGCAAATAAGTATAAAATTGAATGTGAGACTAAATTCAAACACAATAATTAAAAAAAGGACTAAAATAGTGATTTTTAAAGTGGAAAATCAAAACCAAGAAAAAATTAAATAGAGGGACCAACGTTGCAATTAAGCCTAAATGTTTTTAATGAAGAAAAAAAGTTTCGTTTAGATCTTAAAAAAGTGTAAATAATATACATACAATTTTAACGGAATAAATCACTCTTTCTTTCTAGCTTGTCAAGCACGTCTATTTTAGTTGTGATACACTTGTTTGGGATGATCCTTTTTATTCCTTTGCATTTGATCGTTGTGATAAACTATTTCTCCTTCAGTTTGGACTACAAAAACTACAATCATACGATACAACATTATGGAGATGCACCACAACGACCGTGTCAAAATACAGTTCTGCGTGCATCAAGATATACATCTGACGTCTCGATGTGGGAGCCTAATCATCTCACTTTAGCCCAGACATGGGCCTAACTGAAGAATATTTCCCAACCGACCCAACATACTATCAACCATCTCATCACCATAACACATAACAAACATATGAGTACCAAACTCTACAAGTTTAGTTTCCTTTTTATTCCCCTTATTCAGACGACCAGTGGTATCGACCATCCATAAAATCCCACGCCTAACCAATACGATCCAACTTTGAGGGCATGGATAACCGACTGTTTGAAAGCGGATCTTTTGGATATGGTGATCTGACAGATTTCATGGATCCTTAACGCATTGACTTCGCAAGGCCCTTAACCCAACCACAATAGAAAAATCGTCAAAAAGTATCACGAGTTAGGCGAAGACGCGGGTGCGGAACCACATGTCATTATCGAGTCCCGAGAGATAACTAAATAATATGTAACTTTTATTCCCATTATGTAATCATTTTATTATTATTGAAAATCAAAACCAAGAAAAAATTAAATAGAGGGACCAAAGTTGCAATTAAGCCTAAATGTTTTTAATGAAGAAATTTTTTTCTGTTTAGATCTTAAAAAAGTGTAAATAATATGCATACAATTTTGACGACATAAATCACTCTTTCTTTCTAGCTTGTCAAGCACGTCCATTTTAGTTGTGATACACTTATTTTTGGGATGATCCTTTTTATTTTTTCGCATTTGATCGTTGTGCTAAACTATTTCTCCTTCAGTTTGGACTACAAAAACTGCAATCATACGGTACAACATTGCTGAGATGTACCACAACGACCGTGTCAAAATACAGTTCTGCGTGCATCAAGATATACATCTGACATTTCGATGTGGGAGCCTAATCATATCACTTTAGCCATGGGCTTAACTGAAGAATATTTCTCAATCGACCCAACATGCTATCAACCATCTCATCACCATAACACACAACAAACATATGAGTACTAAACTCTATAAGTTTAGTGTCCTTTTTATTCCCCTTATTCAGACAACCAGTGGTATCGACCATCCATAAAATCCCACGGCCAACCAATACGATCAAACTTTGAGGGCATGGATAACCGACTGTTTGAAAGCAGATCTTTTGGATATGGTGATCTGACAGATTTCATGGATCCTTAACGCATTGACTTCGCAAGTCCCTTAACCCAACCACAATAGAAAAATCGTCAAAAGGCATCACGAGTTAGGCGAAGACGCGGGTGCGGAACCACATGTCATTATCGAGTCCCGAGAGATAACTAAATAATATGTAACTTTCATTCCCATTATGTAATCGTTTTATTATTATTGAAAATCAAAACCAAGAAAAAATTAAATAGAGGGATCAAAGTTGCAATTAAGCCTAAATGTTTTTAATGAAGAAATTTTTTTCCGTTTAGATCTTAAAAAAGTGTAAATAATATGCATACAATTTTGACGACATAAATCGCTCTTTCTTTCTAGCTTGTCAAGCACGTCCATTTTAGTTGTGATACACTTGTTTTTGGGATGATCCTTTTTATTTTTTCGCATTTGATCGTTGTGCTAAACTATTGCTCCTTCAGTTTGGACTACAAAAACTGCAATCATACGGTACAACATTGTGGAGATGTACCACAACGATCGTGTCAAAATACAGTTCTGCGTGCATTAAGATATACATCTGACATTTCGATGTGGGAGCCTAATCATCTCACTTTAGCCATGGGCTTAATTGAAGAATATTTCTCAACCGACCCAACATGCTATCAACCATCTCATCACCATAACACACAACAAACATATGAGTACCAAACTCTACAAGTTTAGTGTCCTTTTTATTCCCCTTATTCAGACAACCAGTGGTATCGACCATCCATAAAATCCCACGGCCAACCAATACGATCAAACTTTGAGGGCATGGATAACCGACTGTTTGAAAGCGAATCTTTCGGATATGGTGATCTGACAAATTTCATGGATTCTTAACGCATTGACTTCGCAAGGCCCTCAACCCAACCACAATAGGAAAATCGTCAAAAGACATCACGAGTTAGGCAAAGACGCGGGTGCGGAACCACATGTCATTATCGAGTCCCGAGAGATAATTAAATAATATGTAACTTTTATTCTCATTATGTAATCGTTTTATTATTATTGAAAATCAAAGTCTCATATGTGACAAAATTGTCTTATATTTTTTAACAAAAAAAGGAAATTGCATCTAAACGCCATCTGAGATGGCTTAGAACAAATCAGATGCACCTAGGCGCCATCTCATTTAACGTCTTCTTTAAAATTTTGAATGTATTATGTATTATTTGAGTTGATTGAAGCGTATTACCTATTACTGAAACATAATTATCTGCGTAATTTTTTCAGAAAAGTGATTATTTGTGTATTTTTTTTCCAAGAAAAAAATTCCCAAATTTAAAGTATTTTCAAATGTGTATTTATTTGTTTATCTAAAGACTACCAAGATCGGAGGATGTAGAAAAAATAAAAGGTAAAAATAAAAAAGACGGTAACACCTTGATAGAATAGCACCAAACATGATTACCAATATGATATGACAATGCTATTATTAACTCCCTACCTACTTTTAGCATTTGATACTGTGTCTCATGGCAATTTAGGAAAAGTAAGAGGTATCTAATGCCATTCCGCACAAAAAAAGAAGCTTATACTTATTGTTGAAATTCTTGTTCCATGCAGGGGCATTTATGCCAACACAAAATACAGCTATGCAACAAGTTAAAGTCACACTGAAGAAGGCTCAGAGTTAACGACTTAGCGTGTAGAACTTGTCTTGTGGCACGGACGGATGGATAGGGATACGTGAGAACACAACTACAAAGCAAAACAAAGTTGAGTTTGAGAGAGAGAAAAAAAAAAGCACTGTTTTCTGCTAAGTGGAAGTGGAACCCAACCTTTTTGCTTCTCTTCTCTTCTTTACTATTTTATATTATATAGTATACTTTTTTATATCAAGAATGTGCATTTTGTTTATATTTATATAGTATATTTATTCAATATTTTTCTTTATCTCTTTATATATTTTTATTTTTAAGTGGATAGTTGAAAAGAGATAATGGCCAATACCTGAAAACATTGTTTGTTGTTGCTATCATAGTCCTATTATCTGTCTTTTGCAAATTCTCCAATGAGTTCTTTCTTTTAAAACCCTTGAAAACTTGAACTTGGTTTTGAAAATCTGAGGTGGGTTTTGTTCACTATTGAAAACTAGTGATTTGGTAGCTTAAAAATCGAATCTTTATAGGTTTTGTTTTTGGCCCTTCTTTTTTTGGTTCCACTTCTTGGTTTGGTAGCTTGTGGCTTACAAGATAACAACAAGTATCAATTTATGTTTGGAATTAGAAACTCTTGTTGATGATTCTTTGATTCTTTTAAAGGCGTGTGTGAATTTTTCATATTCTATAGTGTTTTTTTATTTTAGTGTTAGTGTTAGTGTTAGTGTTAGTGTTACCATTCTGGTTGGATAAGATAGCATCTTTTCAACAAGGTTGTCATGTCTCAGGTTCCTTTCATGTTCACTTTGAAATCTTGTTTATTTTTCAAGAATTCTCTTCACTGCTACTACTTCATTTATTGAGCTTTCATTCATCTTCTGAAGTTCACAACTTGTGAAGATTCTTTGGAACTGTTGTGGATGAGTTTTCTCCATGTAATTGGGTTTGGTCTAAAAGTGGGGCATCTGCTTTTAGTGCTATGTTGCTGGATTGTATCTATCATTTATATCAATTGGTTTATTAGTATGGATAAAAAGATGGGTTTTTTAGGAGATGGTGGCAAGATGTGGCTTAAATGGTGGGAGAAGATCTTGGGGAGTGTGTGTAAGATTAATCAACAGTATTATCAGTGTATTGGGTTTAAGAAAGTTAGGAGAAAGTTGTGGAGGAAATTGTTGTTGACATGGGTTTTGGGTTGGTGTATAGTGTCTTTGTGGATCTTTTGTTTTATGAATCTGCAAGTTACTGAGAAGAGGAAAGAGACTCTTGCTAGTATGTGTGATGAAAGAGCTAGGATGCTTCAAGATCAGTTTAATGTTAGTATGAATCATATTCAAGCCATGTCGATCTTGATCTCGACTTTCCATCATGCTAAGAATCCTTCTGCTATTGACCAGGTACACCTAATCTCTAGTCATTCTCTTGTAATTAAAGATTTAAATTCAATTGAGTATCGTTTTTTCTTTGAAGTTGATACTGGTAGTGCGAATGATGTTAACTAATGGATATAATAACTTGGAAAACTTGCAGAGAACGTTTGCGAAGTATACAGAAAGAACGGCTTTTGAGAGGCCGCTTACAAGTGGTGTTGCATATGCTGTAAGGGTGCTTCAATCTGAAAGGGAACAATTTGAGAAGCAACAAGGGTGGAGTATTAAGAGGATGGATACGATGGAGCAGAACCCGGTTCATGAGGATGATTATGTACCGGATGAATTGGAACGATCGCCTATCCATGAAGAATATGCTCCTGTCATTTTTGCACAAGATACAATTTCACATGTCATATCTATTGATGTGCTTTCAGGAAAGGTAAGTTTCTTGTTGTGGAATTACGGTTTGTTTGTACTAGTCATTACTGTTGTTAACTTGTTCATCAACAGGAAGACCGTGAAAATGTGTTGCGTGCGAGAGAATCAGGCAAAGGAGTTTTAACTGCTCCTTTCAGGCTGTTGAAAACAAACCGTCTAGGTGTTATCCTCACGTTTGCGGTCTACAGGAGAGATCTCCCGTCAAATGCTACTCCAAATGAAAGGATTCAAGCCACTGATGGGTGTGTATGAGTTTGGAAATTGTTAAATCTGTGTTAGCTATAACTTCTTAGTTCTTATTGAAAGCGTGTTTGATGTTCGATACATGTCTGTGTCAGATACAGACAAATGTGGTTACATTCAATCATTTCTATTATCTCAAATTATTCCAGGTGTCATCACGTCAGTGTCCATGTCTAAATTAGTTCTTCATATTAAACAATTCATGAACTTGATATGCAGGTATCTCGGCGGGGTGTTTGAAATAGAATCGTTAGTCGAGAAATTGCTTCAGCAACTTGCTAGTAAGCAAACAGTGATCGTTAGTGTATATGATACAACAAACCATACACATTCTATTCCCATGTATGGTTCTGATGTATCGGGCGATGAGTTCTATCACGTGAGCTTTCTCAACTTTGGAGATCCTTTCAGGAAGCATGAGATGCACTGCAGGTAAGAACTGTTATCGTAAAATAAAATATATGCTATGTAAGAACTACTATGATATTAAGGCTTGATGCTGACACAGGTTCAAGCAGAAACCTCCATGGCCGTGGTTGGCATTAAGTACATCGTTTGGCATCCTTGTAATTGCACTCCTTGTTGGACATATATGTCATGCAACTGTGAATCGAATTGCCACCATAGAGGAGGATTGCCGTAAGATGACGGAGCTGAAAAAGCTAGCTGAGGCAGCTGATGTTGCTAAATCTCAGGTATGTAATTTTGACGTCGCATTTAAAATTCTTATTTTTTCGGGCATAAGTTAACACCAATCATATGAGCTGAGTCAATTATCAACTTTGCAGTTCCTTGCTACTGTTTCGCACGAGATCAGAACTCCGATGAACGGTGTTTTAGGTGAGTTGAAAACTAATCTCTCTGTATGCATAACATCCAAAGTATATCCATTCCATGGTTTCTTCATCCGTGACCGTGTTCTTACATTGAATTTTCAGGGATGATGAATATGATCATGGACACCGATCTCGATGTAACACAACAGGAATATGTCAGAACTGCACAAGGCAGTGGAAAAGCTCTAGTGTCAATTATAAATGAACTTTTGGACCAGGCGAAGATTGATTCTGGTAAGCTAGAGCTCGACGCTCTGATGTTCGATATACGAGCTATCATGGATGATGTGTTGTCCCTATTTTCGGAAAAATCTCAAGGAAAAGGAGTAGAGGTAATATATATATCTGTTTATTTTCCCGATGCACTTCCAGTTGTTTAAAATTTTCAGAATCATAACTTAACAAGCTTTTCATGTTCGGTTGTATTCTTTTTTGGGAGCACAGTTAGCAGTTTACGTCTCGGATCAGGTTCCTCAACAGCTTATAGGTGATCCAGGAAGGTTTCGACAAATAATCACGAATCTCATGGGTAACTCAGTTAAGGTAAGTCTATTGGATTAAGTCCTATCAGTTCTCTTTCAACTCATTCATTTTGTGGATGTGATTTATGGTTCTACTAAGCAAAAGTGAGATGTGATTTTCACTTTTTTTCTAGAATATAAACTGAATTATGCAATCGTTTGGCAGTTCACGGACAAAGGACATATCTTTGTCACAATCCATCTTGTTGAGGAGGTTTTCCATTCAATAGAAGTTGAGCGAGAATCAAGTAAAGAAACAGATGATACATTAAGTGGTTTCCCGGTGGCTGATGGTCGGCGAAGCTGGGAAGGATTCAAAGCTTTCAGTCACGAGGGACCTCTTGGCTCTTTCTCATCCCCCTCCTCCACTGATCTCATCAATGTGATTGTATCGGTTGAGGATACGGGTGAAGGTATTCCTCTAGAGTCTCAGGAGAAGATATTCACTCCATTCATGCAGGTAAATCCATCTATCTCGAGAAAACACGGTGGAACTGGTATTGGTTTAAGCATTAGCAAGTGTTTGGTTGGCCTCATGAAGGGAGAAATCGGATTCGCGAGTGAACCGGGCATTGGAAGCACTTTCACGTTTACGGCTGGTTTCACCAATGCATGTCCTGATTCAAATGAAATTAAAACTCAGAAAATCAGCAACCAACCTCATCCTGCATCCTCGGAGTTTAACGGTATGGCTGCACTAGTTATTGATCCGAGACCTGTTCGAGCTAAAGTGTCGAGATATCACATCCAACGCCTTGGAATTCACGTTGAAACAAAATTAGATTTGAAGCAAGGGTTGTCCACTGTAACCGATGGGAATGTAGCTATCAATATGGTCCTTATTGAACAAGAGGTTTGGGAAAGAGACACGAGCATTTCATCGCAATTTGTGAATAACATTAGGAAAATCGTTGAAGTTGATAAAGAGATTCCTCCAAAACTATTTATTCTTGTTAATTCTACTAGTTCTTTTAGAGTAAGTTCTTCTGTGACTTCATGTGTTCATAATCCAACGGTCGTCACAAAACCTTTGAGAGCAAGTATGTTAGCGGCTTCACTACAAAGAGCTATGGGAGTTGGGAACAAAGGGAATCCTCGAAATGGAGAACATCAGGGTTTGTCTCTTCACCATCTTCTCTCGGGGAGAAAGATTCTTATTGTAGATGATAATAGTGTGAACCGTACCGTAGCCGCTGGTGCTTTGAAAAAATATGGAGCTGGTGTGGTTTGTGTAAGCAGCGGAAAAGAAGCCATCTCTATGTTGAAACCGCCTCATCAGTTTGATGCATGCTTCATGGATATTCAAATGCCAGAAATGGACGGGTATGCAGCTCGAATTCTTTCTTCTACCGTCTTGATAACTATCATCCGAAATGAATTTCAAAGTTTCAGTCTATATTAACACAAATGATAACTAATACACAACCATTTTCCTATAGGTTTGAAGCTACGCAGCGAATTCGAAAGATTGAAAACAACGTGAGCAACCAAGAATTGTATGTCCATCTACCGATTTTGGCTATGACAGCAGACGTGATGCAGGCTACACAAGAGGAATGCTTAAAGTATGGGATGGATGGATATGTTTCAAAACCATTTGAAGCGGAACAACTTTATAGAGAGGTTTCAAAGTTTCTCCAATCATCATGAGAGAAAAAAATATACAATGCTGATCTGAACCAAACAATGGAAGCATCAGCGTCTGCTCGATAGGTCATAGATGTGAATACATAAGTTCATAAATCTCCTAAGCTTGTAGTAAGTTCAGTTCAACAGTTCTAAAATGCATATTGCTTACATAATATAGAATCTTGATTTACAATATTAGTTTTCTTGTGACAGGGAATGTACATAGGAGCAAAATTTTATTGGTTGGAAATTGGAATCGAGCCTATTCCATTTCCATGGTAAGTGTAAATTGGAAGTGTCTCATCCTGTTCTGCATGTAATTTACTACTTTGAGTACTCTATTCACTTTACTTTGTTATGTGTATTGATGTATATGATTATATGTATATGAGATTGATTGAGTCACAATAGAGAGAAGAAAATTCATGCGAATTACAACAAACGATGAAGGTAGTTAGTTAGTCGTGCGGAGTCATATAAGCTCCACTTCCTTTGGATTTCAAACATGTAAATGACACATAAAATAATATTCGAGCGATCCACCATTTTTGGCCGATTTTTGTATTTTAAGTTCTGGATTCCTTTGAATTTCCTTCTATTATGGAATAGAATTGAGAGTTTGAAAAATGTAATTTTCTTAGCATAATATCATTACAAGTCTACTTGTGTAGCGAATCCACATTTAGTTTAAGCTACACTTGCACATAACATAGTATAGCTTGTGTTGTAAGTAACTAACTCATAACAACTACTTAAACAAACTAACAACCTTATTCTAACTATGTTGCACTTTAACATAGCTGATAATTACAAGTTGAAGGTTGGTAAATTTCTACCATCTTTAATGATTGTATTATTTAACCTGTACAAATTTCTATTTAACCTGTATAAATTAGAATTGAATCGAAGTCCACTTCCTACTTTAGACGTGTGTCTTGGCGAACTTCTTCGCTAGGAGCAGCGTCTATTTACTTAAGGGGATATGTCACATGACAACTTCACTACTCATGCTATTTATGTTGCTTATTCATCCAAGATTAAAGGGAAAGATCGTCATATGGGACAAGTCTAGTGTTTTTCCTACAAACAATTTGGTCATATTGTGCTAATTGCAATAAGAAATTGTGTAAGTATTGCAAGCAATACAATCACATCATCAAAGAGTGCCCAACGAGACCCGAGAAGAAATCGGTGCAAGTATTTCATGCCGCTACTTCTTCAGTGGCTCAATCTTCTGCTCCTACAACTTCAACAACTATTGTTTTGACTATATAAGATGTCCAACAAATGGTATTGTGTGCTTTTTCTGCCTTGGGCGTTCAAGATAAGTCTAATGTTGTCGTTCATTCTGCAAGTGTTGTTGCTCAACCTTGGTTTGTTGATTCTGGAGCTTCTAATCAAAATGACAGGTTCTTTGAAAATTTGCATAATGTTCACACTTACAATGACACCCAAAACATTAAAATTACCAATAAAATACTCTATCTATTTCTGTTGTTGGAGACATTAATTCCTCATTCCGAAATGTGTTTGTTTCTCCTGAACTTGTTTCGAATTTAATTTCGGTTGGGCAATTGATTGATGATGATTGTAATGTTAATCTTTCTAAAGTGGACATATTATTTCCTATCCAATTTTCCATACCTAGAATTTTATCTTTTGCTTGTAATAATGGACCAAATAAGTTTGAGGATTGGCATAGAAAGTTAGATCATCTAAGTTTTAATATTTTATCTCATTTATTGAATAATAAAATTCCATTTCTAATTCCTCTTTTGATTGATTTGTGTGCAAAATTTCCAAAAGCAAAACTCTTTCCTTTCCATCTAATGTACAACATGCTGATAGATATTTTGATCTTATTCATAATGACATTTTGGGCATATCACAGTTTTATCTCATTCAAAATATAAATACTTTGTTACATTTATTGATGACTGTAGTAGATTTACATGAATATATTTTCTCCGCTTTAAATTTGAGTTTTTTTAACATGTTTAAGAATTTGTTGGCATATATTAAGAATCAATTCCATACATGCGTCAAATGTCTACGTACAAATTCTGGCGGGGAGTATGTTTCTCGAAAATTTCAAGAGTTCTTGCAAGAAAAAGGTATTACTTTCCAGCGTTCTTGTCCTTATGTGCCTAAACAAATGGAGCTATTGAGCAGAAGAATCGACACTTACTTGATGTCACCTACACGCTCCTTCTTCAAGCTTTTGTTCCATCTCGATTTTGGGTTGAAGCCTCGTAAACGTGGTGTACTTGACCAACCGCTTTCCTTCTCAGGTTCTTGACTTTGATTCCCCTTTCTTTCGTCTAAATAACATAGAAGATGATTATCATGATCTTCACACTTATCATCTTTGAAACGTCACAAATTGGGGGCTCAATCTATAAGGTGTACCTTTATGGATTATTCTCATACTAAAAAAGATTTCCTTTGTTATGATGCAACTTCTCAGCGCTTGCGCGTCTCTTGGAATGTGGTTTTCTTTGAATATTAATATTATTTCCCTTCTATTTCTTCGGACTCTCCGGGTGTTGTTTCACTCCCTAATTTTTTGGAGGTCACTCTCCCTATATAACTTTTTAAGCCAGTTCATGTCTTTGTTAGACAAAAGCTTCTTCCAGATCCTTTCGACACTGAACCATCCCAGGATCCTTCATCAATGGAACCATGAAGATCCAACAATATATCTCGTCCACTAAAAATATATGAAGACAAATCTACTTCTCTAACTGCCACTTTATCTGGTGTATATGTTTCTACATGTTATTCACAAGCAGCTAAAGATTCAGTGGATAAAGGAAATGCAAGAAGAGTTGCAAGCACTTTAAGAGAATTGTGGGATTTTGGATCGAACTCTAGTTGGTCGAAGTACATGCTGTAGTCGAAGAAGGGTCCAGCATGTATTTGTCGAAGGATTCTTGTCGAATTAGGTTTTAGTGTTTAAACCCTAATTTGTTAAGTTAGCTTGTTTGTTAAGTTAGCTTGTATAATGGGCCTTGTGGAAAAAGCCCATTAGTTAGTATGTTAGGTTTTATTATAAATAGCATACTAGTCTCTCATCATTGCCATCACAGCAAATCCTAATTAGGGTGAGAGGGTTATTTGTTATTCTTGTAAACTTGTAATCTTGTTTTCTAAGAGAAAGTAAAGAATAGCAGTTATAACCAATTCTTGTGTTCTTCTTCTTCCTTGTTCTTGATTCTTCCCAAATACTATACTTTGTTATTGGCATTGAATTCACAACAAATTGGTGCGGTGAGCGTGGAGAAGATGCCTTCAACAAAGTATGAGATCGAAAAGTTCACCGGAGTGAATGATTTCGGTCTATGGCGCTTGAAGATGAAAGCTCTACTGGTTCAGCAGGGTTGTTTGGAAGCGTTGAAGGGAGCGACGGCGATGGACGCTGCGTTAACAGAAAGAGAGAAGACGGCTATGATCGAGAAAGCACACAGCGCAATTTTGTTGAGCCTTGGTGATAAGGTTCTTCGACAGGTATCAAAGGAGACGACGGCATCAGGGTTATGGGTGAAACTTGAAAGTTTGTATATGACCAAATCTCTGGTAAATCGACTCTACCTGAAGCAAGCTTTGTATTCATTCAAGATGATCGAAGACAAAGTGTTGGCTGAGCAGTTGGATATGTTCAACAAGCTGATTCTTGATCTTGAAAATATTGATGTAAAGATTGATGATGAAGATCAAGCGTTGTTATTGTTGTGCGCTTTGCCCAGATCACATGCTCACTTCAAAGAAACCCTCTTGTATGGAAGAGAGTCCCTGACCTTTGAAGAAGTTCAATCAGCCTTGTACTCTAAGGACTTGAACGAACGTAAGGAGCATAAACCTTCGACGGTTGGTGAAGGTTTGGCTGTTAAAGGAAAATTCGACAAGAAGAAAGGTAAAAATCAGTCGAAGTCTTATAGTGGTGACACATCTGGTATTAGATGCTATCACTGTAAGAAAGTAGGTCACACAAGAAAGGTGTGCCCTGAACGCCTGAAAGATCATGGAGGTAAGGATAATGGCAATGCAGCTATTGTCCAAGATGATTTCGAATCATCTGATGTTCTTGTGGTTTCAAGCAACAACTCGTCGAAGGAGTGGATTATGGATTCTGGATGCACTTGGCACATGACTCCAAACAAAGACTTGTTCGAGGAATTATGTGATCAAGATGGTGGATCGGTATTGCTGGGAAACAACAAAGCTTGCAAGATTGCAGGCGTTGGATCTGTGAGATTCAAGCTCCATGATGAGTCAATAAGACTGTTGACTGAAGTCAGGTATGTACCTGATTTGAAGAGAAATTTGATTTCTCTTGGTGAATTCGACAAGAAAGGATATGTTTTTCAAGGAGAGAAAAGTATCCTAAGAGTCATGAAAGGGTCGAAGGAAGTCTTGAGAGGCGTGAAGAAACAAGGCTTGTATACCCTTGAGGCTGAAGTTGTAAGTGGTTCAACAAATGTTGCATCCACGAAACCTTTGTCGAAAACAGAAATTTGGCACATGAGATTGGGCCATGTCAGTGAAAGGGGTCTGGTTGAATTAGGGAAACAAAATCTGCTTGGTGGAGATAAAGTCGAAAAGCTGAAGTTTTGTGAACCCTGTGTACTTGGAAAGTCCTGTAGAATGAAGTTCAACAAAGGCAAACAAAGAACACATGGATCCCTTGATTACATCCATGCTGATCTTTGGGGGCCTGCAAGGTGTCCATCACATTCAGGAGCAAAGTATTTTCTATCCATAGTAGATGACTATTCCAGAAAGTTATGGGTATTCATCCAGAAGACTAAGGATGAAACTTTTGAGAATTTCAAAAGTTGGAAGACTCTTGTCGAAAATCAAACTGGCAGAAAGGTAAAGAGGTTGAGAACCGACAATGGCCTTGAGTTTTGCAATGAGGCGTTCGACAGTTTTTGTGTTGCCTCTGGTATTGCAAGGCACAGAACTACCGCAGGTACTCCACAACAAAATGGTTTGGCTGAAAGGTTTAATCGAACTATTTT